CGTAAACGGCTCCGAAGATTTTTCATGAAATTTAGTGTGAAATTAATGTAAAATTTAGTGGGGATTTCAGGGGCGTTAAGTCGATCGAGCTTATATAAAAAGATAAATCGATCTATCTAGTGGGATTTCAGGGGCGATAAATCGATCTAGCGTATCTTGATTATATATTCATTCCCATCTAATTTTAAATAGTGTTTTATTAGAAATGAATCAAAATATCGAATGGCAGCACTGCAACGGGCTATAAAACGAGCAGCGCTCATCATGTTCGGTCAGTTTTTCGTCACTTGCGTGCTGAATTTCTCCCCGAATTAATAACGATTGTGTCGATTACTTAGAATTATACTGGCCAATAAGTTTATTAAAAAAATCAGTTATCTTTTCTATTTCTAACAATATAATATTAAATTAGTGACGTGAATAAATGAATATTCAACGTTAGTCGTAATATGATTTTACCTATCCTTGACTTTATTACTCCTATTATCACCCATATCCTTAACGCATCAATCTCTTCATTCAAGTTTCCCGAAGCTTGGAAAAGTGCTCAAGTGACTCCTCTCCCTAAGAAAGCCCATGCATTGCAATTTTCCGATTTTCGTCCTATTTCTATTCTCCCGTTCCTGTCTAAAGTTCTAGAGAAACTAGTTTTCCAACAGTTAAATCTCTATCTGAACAAAAATTCTCTTCTTAATCCTCTTCAATCCGGTTTCCGATCAGGTCATAGTACGACTACAGCGTTGGTTAAAGTTACTGATGACATTCGACGGGGTATGGATAATAAACAGCTCACTGTACTTGTGTTGCTAGATTTTAGTAATGCATTTAATACCGTCGATTTTGACATTCTGTTGAGTGTGTTACGTTCTATTAACATATCTCCACTAGTGATTGGCTGGTTTCAAAGTTATTTAAGTGGCCGACGGCAGCGTATTCGCATAGAGGATGAATTCTCGTCTTGGTGTGAATTGCGCGCCGGAGTGCCTCAAGGTGGTGTGTTGTCTCCTCTTCTATTTGCCGTATTCATTAATTCAATTTCTCAAAAATCACTTCTCTCTATCACATGTATGCAGACGATCTCCAAGTGTACACACAGTCAACTCTTGAAGACTTGCCTACTGCTGTTTCCGCCATCAATGATGACCTGGCCGCTATCAGTGAATGGAGTAAAATCTATGGTCTCAATGTTAACCCTACTAAGTCCCAGGCTATTATTGTTGGTGGTGTTGGTTTGATTTCAAGAGTTGACTGGAATAACCTTCCTTTGGTAAAATTAAATGACGTTATAATACCGTACTGCACGACTGTGAAAAATCTTGGTGTCCAATTTGACAATTCCCTCTCGTGGTCGGAACAATTGAATCAAGTGAGCCGAAAAACATTTGCTGCGATGGGTTCTCTCCGTCGTTTACGTTCTTTTCTTCCCATTCCAACTAAAATTATGCTAGCACAATCCTTACTCCTGTCCATTCTCGATTATGCGGATGCAAGCTATCTTGATTTAACCGAAGAACAACTAAATAAACTTGAGCGTATTCAAAATTTAGCCATTAGGTTCATATTTGGTTTACGCAAATATGATCACGTTTCCGAATTTCGTTCAATGCTCAAGTGGTTACCCATTCGTTTTCGCCGGAATCTACACACTGTCTCTCTTCTGTACTGTGTATTATTTAACCCTAGGACTCCAAGCTATTTAAAGGAACACTTTAAGTTTCTTGGCCATAACCATCCAGAACGAGTTCTGCGATCAGCTGAAGATCTAATTCTAGCACCACATGCGTACAAAACTAAATATTATAAGAACTCCTTTACAGTTAAGGCCATCTGCTTGTGGAATGAACTTCCTCAGCAAATTCGTCGTTCGAAGACGCTAGACAAGTTTAAAATTGACGTAAAACAACATTATTTATCGCTTTGTAATCCATAGTTTTTAATGGAAATATTCAGATTTAATTCTTCTCTCGTGTATTTATTTATATATATTATATATTTATTTATGTTTATGTATGTTTATTATAATTTTTTTTATCTTATTATATTTAAGTCTATTTTGGTATTAAGTAAGTTTATTGAGCACACCACCTCCCACTATTCATTAGTTTATTTTTCCTCGTCCTAAGGTTGTCTGGAAGAGATCGCTTTTTGGCGATAAGACCGCCTTATTGTACCTAGCTTTTAAGACTTATTTCATACTAATTGTATCAAATTCTTTGTGGTGTACAATAAAGTATATAATAATAATAAATAATATTATTATCATGTTATTATCTACAAACTCAAGAAGTATAGTTTTGTCTCTATTAAGCCAATGCCAAAGAATTTGCATTGTTCTGTCTTGCAAAGAGCGGGCTGGTGCCTGTTGAATATAAATTCTGTCCATCCCCTTGACTGGGTCACCGAGCCTCACCCTGTGTTTTCAATAAGTCAGCCGGTGCGAATCCCAATACCAAACTGTCTCACTCGGGGAGCTAGATAGGGATTTTACTTATTACTAGTTTATGTACGTAGTACAGTGATTCTAGAATATACGCGGATTTAAATGTTTGAGTTATTTCCTTTAGAAAAAAAAATTGGCCGTGGTTGCAGCTGCTAATATTCTATTGTTTGTATGCATTTTAAATTTCAATCGTTCAAATTCAAAATTTCATAATCATGTCGAATTGGCGGGAAGGCAAAATAAGTGAGTGACTGCAGTAAAATCTCACTTGAAATATGTTACACTGTGCATCAAACCATAGTATAAAACAAAGTCTTTCAGTTATCTGTCTGTCCCTATGTATGCTTAGAACTTTAAAACTACGCAACGGATCTTGATGCGTGTTTTTTCTAGATAGAGTGATTTAAGATGAAGGTTTATAATTATGTGTAATATATTCCACGGGCGGTGCCCCGGCTTCGCACGGGTAGTATTAAATGAAAATAATTAGCTCCTCCTTTAGAGGACGTATTATGTTAATGTTTTGAAAAATTTACTATACGTGACTCATTACAAGAAGGAAATTGAAACGGTCGGTCTATGCAAGTTACGTTAGCATGTTGCTGACATAAATACTTGCTTTATCTAGGAAGATTATGTTTTATAGTACAACAATTTATTATTAGTTTTACATCTTAAATCAAATGATGATAATATTAGATCATTGCCTATGAAATAGCCGTTTTGTATAAAATAAGTCAAAGTAATTTTTTTTACTTTTTATTGCTATTATACAAAGTAATGCAATAGATGCATATTTGCCAACGCAGTGGTAGTTTATTGATGCCCTTCATGTAAAAATCAGCTGGACGGGCGGCAGCAATCTCGTCATTGGCTTTTGTACTGCCTCTCGAGAATTGAAATTTTTTCCCGCTAAAAAGTTGTCCAAATTTTGGAAAAAGATATAGTCTGTATGTGCAAGGTCTGGTTGAGTATCGCAGATCATCCTAAGAAAATATATTTATATTTTATAAACCTATGTTAGCAACCTGAATATAAGTTGTATGAATTATTATTTACACTATTTTTTTTAAAGAAGGGATAAAAAGATTTTCTCTAAAGAAAACTGTAATATAACAAGACAGGTGTCCAGGTACAGACGCAACCATCGCTCGGTCGAATAAAGGAATTCATTATCTATTGTAGTAGATTTTATGCTTACCTTTGTGATTATATTGAAATATTCAACAGCCACAATTTATAAACAATGACCTAAAATGTTTAAATAAAATATATTCTCTGGTCTGCGTTCGTGCATATGTATTGACTTTTTGATTTTACAACATTATACATATTAAATGAAACTAGTTTACTGATTTTATCGCGTTTTTATTTTGATTTAAAATTCCTGACGTTTCAAACCATTTCCAGCGTTCATGGTCACGGGACAGACAAAAACCTTGACCAAAACATTACCATCATTCCATTACATAAACCATAACATTTATATTCGTAAAAAACCATTTAATCATGCTATTGGTAGATGCTTGAGAACTCTCAAAAATTTTTTCATAAGTTTCCGATAACATTTATAAGTTATTCATAAATTAACTTTAATTTTTGTTCCAAATGTTCTATTTTAATTTTATATATTAATAAATATTTTTCTTATTTATTTTGTTTAAAAATAATCTGAATACGAAATTTGACTATGTGCTTTACATTACAATTTTTTAAGGATAAAAGAACAAACTCAAAGGCAGTAGAATGACCCAATATGCAAAATATGAAATGAGCTAAATTAGAAAGAGCTTTAAGAGAAAGACCTTTTGAGGGTTTATTATGTTAATTTGCTGAAAAATTATGTTCACGTGACTCATTACAGGAACGAAAATAGAACGGGTTGTCTATGCAACCGTACGTACTGTATTGTATATATAGTTATAAAGTTTAAGTGAAATAAATACGGACGATTTATTTATAAAGGCTGTGTTTTGTATTTCCCGTTCAGTTTAGTAAACCTTAAATTTGGTTCTAACAAACCAATTTTAAGTTAAATTTTTCCTATCGGTTATGGTTTTTATATCAGAATGTAGCTATTTAGCTATTTAGAAATTCGTGTATGTGAGACTCTTCTACTACATTTGAAATATTCTTGTACTTAACGACAGTATTTTTTTTTAAATCATTAAACTTGTACAATTTACATATTTGAAAAACTTAAAATATTAAATTTATATTTACGCTTACGTAACGGTACATGTATAATTTTTTCATTAGAAGGGATATGAAATTATTGAGACTAGTCGAAGCAGACTTATTTTAATACGTGTCTACTCTCTACACTTTTTTTTTTTTTACGTGGGGAAATCCGTTATGGATACCTGGCTCTCCGGTAAGAACCAAGTTAGTTCGGACTCGCACCGACTAAAACCCCACGGTAGTCGCCATCTGCTCTGATGAGGGGTCACGGGATCTCCTTTCGGAACGCTACCGCGGCCCCTCCTTAGCTTGCCTATGATAGGCTCGTTTGGGGACTGCATTACGCTGGCCCCAGCATCCCCGTGGTGGACATTAATTAACCACCGATCTCCATGGGAGCTTTACTGGGCAATTGAGGGCTTCGCCCCAATCGCTCAGGACCCCTGAGGCCCCGTTTCTGGTAGGGGAGCACCATTTCTATTAGGAGAGCCGTGACGAGGCGCATGGGCGCGCCGGTGACCCCGTCTCCGAGTGGGATCTGTTCTCTCTCTATCCCGCTCAACAGCCTCTTTCTGGACCATTACAGTCTCACAGAAAGACGCTACGGCGCTCCACGTTGCTTCTCCTCTCATCATCGCCGACACGACTGCAGGCAGATCGAGGTTTCGCCCTATGTGGCCCACTAAGACACTCCGCTCCGCATCCCAGGCAGGGCACATCGCCAAGGTATGCGTTGCAGAGTCTTCGTTGTTCCCACCACAGTGGAAGCAAATTGCCGTCGCCTCACGACCAATCTTCCACAGATAATCACTAAAGCATCCATGCCCTGTGATTATCTGTGTTAGCCTGTAGGTGAGTCTACCTTGTCGCCGCTGCATCCAGGTGTCGAAGACCGGCAGGAAGGCTTCAATTACTCGCTTATGCACGTATTGCTCTTGACTGAGCCGAGACCGCCATGTCGCGAAAGCTCTCCGTTGTTCCTGCCGTTTAATCGATTCAAGCGCCTCTTCTGGCTCACTACCACCACTCTGACGGAGGGCGCGTTTTCGGTGGTACACCCGCGCATCCATTTCCGCCAGTATATCTAGGAGTGGGAAGCGAGCCAAGACAGTTGCCGCCTCGAATGATATGGTTCTATATCCTCGAACGACCCGTATAGCTATCCGTCTCTGAACGCTATAGACCTTAGATCTACAGCGTCGAGTAGAAAGCCTCTTTGCCCAAACGGGTGCCACGTACAAAGCTACGGATCGTACAACCCCGGCATAGAGGCGGCGAACTTCCTCCTTCGGTCCCCCAAGATTAGGTAGCAGTCTGTGCATTGCACCCGCTACCTTCTCGATCCGGGGGACCAGGCGCTCGAAATGTTCTTCAAATCCCCAGCGGCTATCCAAGTGTAGGCCCAGGTACTTCATGTATTTGCTCACCCTGACCTCAGACCCACCCACACGGATGCACGAGTCGGGTGGTTCTCTGCCTCTTGGCATTGTATGGAACCATAGAGCCACGGTCTTGTGTGGCGCTATCTCTAGACCCAACTCGCGGATCTTGCCGACGACAATTTCTGCCCCAAGCTCGGCTAGCTCTTTTGCCCTCGCAAAGGTGTCCCCGCTAGCGACTATTAACGTGTCATCTGCATAGCATATGACATTAACGTTAGATGGGAGATCAACACGCAAAACTGCGTCATACGCCACGTTCCACAGTAACGGACCAAGCACAGACCCCTGTGGAACGCCACAGTGGATCTCCCTCTGGATCTTTCTACCGTCTTTGTCTGTGTATAGGATATACCTTTCCCGCAGATAGTCATTGATAACGCCTTGCAGATAGGGAGGCACATTATGGTACGCAAGTCCCCCACTAATGGCAACCCAGGGCAGCGAATTAAAGGCATTGACAATGTCCAAACTAATTGCCAATGCCACGCCACCCCAGGAAGTCGCCTGCTCCGACAAGGTACGGACGCGCATGACTGCATCTATTGTCGAACGCCCCCGCCGGAAGCCAAACTGGCTTTCGGCGAGATCAGGACCGACGCGTGACAAATGCTCGCTAATACGAGTGGCAAGAATCCTCTCGAATATCTTACCAATCTCGTCCAACAGGCATATGGGACGGTATGCAGAGGGAGAATCTGCAGCCCTGCCTTCCTTTTTCAACAGGACCAATCTTGCTATTTGCAGGCCGTAGGGAAAGTTGCGTTACGGAGGCAGCTAGTAAATAACTGCCTCAACCTTTCCCCTAGTACGGTTATACTCAACACCCAGACTCGCCCCGGTATTCCGTCAGGACCTGGCGCCGAGTTTCGAGCTCTCAAGCGACTTATAGCTCTGTCCAGCTCCTGCGCTGTCACACCCATCTGATCTTGCCACTGCCACGGAACTAGGTTGTGGCCTGAGGGACTTAACTGGCCTATCGGGAATAGTGAATTGATAACTCGTTCCAGCAGGTCCGGATCAAGCATTTCCGTCAATGGAGGCATCCAGGGTCGGAGCTTACCCAGCACCATCCTATGGCTCAATCAGAATCCATGGGCGCCCCCATGGATTCTGATTGAGCTCCTCCAGGAGTTCATTCCAGGACCGAGATTTAGCATGACTGATTGCCGTCTGCAATGCCTTAGTAGTCTCTCGGTACGCATTGTACAGTCTAGCTGTATCCTCAGTTGGAGTTCGCCGTCTTCTCCGGGCTGTAGTGTACTGGCGTCTGCTTCGCAGACATACTGCACGCAGTTATTACACGCTATTTCTACTGACCACCAGTACACCGCCCTCTGCTTGAGGCTATCAATGCGGGGCATCGACATATCGCAAACTTGAGCCATAGAATCCTGGAACCAGTTTACTTCTCTCTCTGGGTTGACAGGAACCTCTTCGGGCTTTTTTGACCATGTCGCAATGATGACGGCGGTTTCGAGCATGTCCCGATCTAGCCGCTTAAGGCACCAACGTCGCGGAGGGCTGTTGCTACTATGGTTGCAGTCAAAACGGGACTGGCGGGTTGCAACATTGAAGACAATGTGGCGGTGGTCGGATAGTGTGACTATCTCTTCAGCAACCCGCCAACCTGAAACCAAATGTGTTACGGAGGGGGTCGCTAATGGGGGATGTTAAGTCTACAATCGACTCCCCCTGCCATCGTACGCAAGTACTTATAGACCCTCAATTCAGTAGCTGGAGGTCCAGGCCAGCCGCCCATTCCTTTATGGTCTCTCCCCTCGGACTATTTCTAGGGCTCCCCCACTCCCTAGCGTGGGAATTAAAATCCCCCAGGACAATAATTGGGCGAGGTAACAACCTACGAATGATGTCAGCCACCTCGTCCAGGTACAACTGATAGTCGGCGAGTGAGCTATTAGGTGAGACATAGCAGCCAACAATGGCCAGTGTCCCCCATTGTACCGCAACATACCCCTGCCCCCTTCCCAACAGGGTGCAGGGTGGGGCATTCTTTTCACCCCCCCAGTGAATAGCTACAGAGCCCAAGTCATCACCGAATCAACGGGGGTGGTCAGGCACAACGTAGGGCTCTGCGACTACGACTAGGGCAACCTTCCACTCCGCAATAGTCTGCATGAGCAGATTTTGAGCGTTGCGGCAGTGGTTCAGGTTACCCTGAAGGACTTTTAGGGGTTCGTGTTTTTGGCCTCCTCAACCTCCATCACCGAGCTTGAACTCAGTTCTATTACTCCTGCCACTGTGTTTGTTTTGTCAGTGGGAACATAAGAGGATTGCTTATTTTTCACCGCACTCTTTTTCGGTGGTACGAAGCATTTCTTACCTAAACGGTGCCCAGAGGGGCGTCCAAGATCCGAGCAGAGTGGACACTTGAGGACTGTTGCCTTGCAATCTCTAGCCCTGTGCCCTGACTCACCACAGGCGTAGCAACGTTCACTGCGATCGATATTGTTGGGACACCGGCTGCCGACGTGACCCTTCTCCAAGCACCTGTAGCAGAACAAAGGCCTGGGTTCTAGAAATTCCATCCGAGCGGACACCCACCCTTTTTTCACGCGCCCGACAGCCGCTATTTTTTGGATTGCCGTAATTGGGCAACGTACCCAACATGTTCCCATGCTAGTTGGAGATCGGTAGACTTGTCCAACTTTTACGTCATCCACTGAGCAACCTCCCGGCTCAGCAATCGCTGCCGCTAGTTCTGGAGGGCTGACAGCGTCGTCGAGGTCCCTCAACCGAACGTCCCCCGTTTTAATCGGACGATTCACACGGACATTCAATTCTGAGAGGACCTCTCGTAGTTTGGCCGCCAATTTTTCAGCCTTGGGGCCGCATTCAGGGCCACTGATTTCCATTAAGATGCCCCCGGTCACAGCGCGCTTTTGTCGTAATGCCTCAATACCAAAATCTTCAAGTTGAACCTTAGTTTTGGCGACCTCCATAAGCTTAGCATAAGTACTCGTGGAACCCTCTACTAGCGTAATGGTTATAGCTGCAGATTTTGGGGCACGAGTAACTTTCAGTTGCCTCTTCTCTTGCCTGGATGCACGGTTGGACCCAACGTTTTGTATTTTTGCCTTCTTAGTCACGTCTGCCCATGAGTTTGTCATTGCAGGTGTAGATGCTTGCAGTACTAGCGCATCTACTGGTGGATGTATGGGCTTCTTCTTCTTTCGCAGTTTTGGTTTTTTAATTTTGTGCTGCGATGGAACCGACGCTGGTTGCTGTATCGTCGTTGACAGTGTACTAGGACGTGTTACAATCTTTTCTCCCAATGGTGGGCGGATTGCTTTATCGGGAAATAACCTGGCCTCGAATGCCATGAGCTTACTCTCGATCAGCATCCCAATGTGCTCCATTAGGTCATTCTGTTCACGAGAGTGCTTTGTAACTCGCGTTGACTTTCCAGGTACGTTAGTAAAGTCTGAATGGGACTGCTCGCGGAAACGCTTTATTTCTTCCGTTAGTTTTTCTGTTCTTATGAGGGGGCTTGAGAGGGCCGAACGTAATTCAGCATTTTCTTTCTCCAGTCTTGCGATAACATCATCGGCCGCTGACCTCCTAGCAAGTTCGCCGGCGGCCGCTTTGAGTTGTCGCACGGCCAACCTTAATCCCTGGGCGAAGCTTCCCTTTAAATTTCGGGATCTGTCCGCTACCTCCTCAATGGCCTGGAGATGATGGTCAATATGGTCCTCAATTACTGCGCCCGATTGAGAACGAAACTCCAGTGCTAACTCTTCCGTGCTGGGTAGGCATTTTTGGTTTGGACCTCGATAATGACGATGAAAGATCGTCGAGATCCTCTTCCGTGTCAATCTCAGCGGCTAGCTCTTCCCCATCAGTCGCTGTTACCGAGGCAGAGGCTGCTACCGCCTTGTACTTAGCAGCCACAGCCTTGACACTCGGAGCCTTAGCCTTCCTCTTACGATTATCTTCTGATGTAGCTGATACGAGTGACAATTGCAAGCCATCAGACTCACCTCCATCACCAGAGAGTGCTAAGCGCCCTCGTCTACCACGCCTTCCCCTCGAACAGCGTGCCGGGACTACAGGTCTCACCGGCCTAGTTCCCTCCCCAATAAGTTGGTCCCCGGATGTTAGGGGACCCACGGACGAAGCAGATATTTCGCCGCAAAACAGTGTGTTGCCCCCCCCAGATACGATGGGGCTGCCTAGGCTAGGCCTAGGGGTGGATTCTCCGGCATTACCGGTACCACCCTGGGGTAGTTGTTTTTTACCCACTGTTTCCATGTTTTTCCTTTTTTGCTAGGGTTTGGTCCCTGAAATTCCCCTCCCCCCTGAGCGCTTGGGACTGGTTTCCCACCAGCCATTCACCCGTCAGCACGCTCGACCTTTGGGTTGGGGGATTTTTTATAGAGGTTACCTGCCTCTCGGCCACTCATGGCCCCCGCTCCCTAAGGTTTACGGGTTGGGGGATTTTTTATAGAGGTTACCCTCCTCTTGGCCACTCATGGCCCCCGCTCCCGAAGGTTTACGGGTTGTGCGGCGTCGGTGAAATCCGAAGTGCACCTGGCACTTCACCGCACTTGTCACGTCCACTGTTCTTTCTTGTAGAAAGAAGCATGGAGTGACAAAGAGCCTTAAGGCCCTCCTCGTAGGCAATCCTTCGCAGGATTCCCTCTTGGCCGTTTCTCGAATCACAATAGATTCGAGGGTACGCCCCAAACGCAGCCAGTTTTGGTCCACGACGGTACTCCGCTACCACCCATATCTGGGTGGCATTCCCCTATCCGCCACCTGGGGACGCGCCCGATGGGAGATCTGGCAACTCCTCACGGGCTATTCTCTACACTACTGTCACAATTACAAAGGTTACTTTGTAAATATTTTTCGTCTGTACAGAAAAGTAAAACGGATATTAAATTTTTTTTTATTCCAGTATATCCAAATAGGATGAAATCAGATGTTGAAGTTTCCTTTCAATTTATAAGAAATTACGATTAATTATATATATATATAAAAAAGCAGAAAAAAAGAACAAAAATCCATGAAATATGCTTGAAATGAGAAAAGGCAATGTAAATGATGACTCCCTGGCTTAGTTGCCAAGGTATTGGCTTCGGCGTCGGGGGTCGTGGGTTCGATTCCCACTCGGGACAATTATTTGTGTGGCCCACAGATAGTTGTTTCGCATCTGGGTGTTTGTCCGCGTGAAATTTATTTTTGTAAAATGTCCTTACAACACAGGATAATGTTATCCTAAAGTAAGGGCAATGTTTTAAAAAAAAAAAAAAAAAAGACGTTGAGATTTTCGTCGGTGTGGCAATCAGCCGTTTACCCAAATGGTTAAAGCATCTGAGCGCGAATCCGAAAGACGTGGCTTCGATTCCCGCAGCGGGGAAAAACTTTTCCTGTTTATTTATACAAATTTTGTAACGAATTATACAAAATAAAGCACATAAAGTACGAAAGTAGTCGTGCTTAAACAGTTACGTTCTGACAGTGGTTGTGGTTTTTATTGTAAAAATAGTAACTAATACCCCTAAAAAAATTAAATTCTTAAATAAAAATAGTTTATTTGGTATTCCATTATTAGGTAAGAACTTATATTTTTTCGTAATGTAATAAGTATAGCCCCCCTGGAATATAGTTTGTATTTATATGGTATTTTAATACGCAGTTTTTAATTAATTTTTTTATTTCTTATTTATTGTCATAACTACTAGCACTTGAAAGAACTACATTCCTGTTATTCACTACAAATAATATCCTGTCACAGATTTATAAAATTAATAATAGAGTTAATCGCTATCGTGTTCAAACGGACAATGCCGACGATCACACTAATTTAAGCTGTCGAATGTCGACAAATGTCCCTCCAACACGCTTCGTATGGTCAATGTAATTGCTATCGTAAATCTGGCATACGCGATCAAGTCACTGATCGTAAAGTTAAGAGTATTGCTGTACCGTGGTGTGTTATTTCTTGTATTATGATGTTCGAGTCATTGAATTGAATCTAAGTCTTTATTTAATCACTATTATTTCTTAAATGTTTTCAACCGATTTCAAAAAGGAGTTCAAAGTTCACATTTTTTTATATTTTTTATTTTGATGATTCTTTTTTAATTTGAGAGCTGGTGCTTCCCATGTGATCCCATGTTAATTTCATTGGTATTGGTACTGTGGGAACCCTTGAAGATCAATTATAAAATGAAAACAGAGCGAGATATTTGCAGTCGGTTTTGTTTTTCGTTGATAAAAATGGACTTGTATTGTTTTAATTAATAACGACGTAAATATGTTCCTAAGAGACACCTCTGCGAACACACAGTAGTATGGCAGCTTGGTTACAAAGTTACTTACTTATTTAATACATATCCATTGTCTTTTAATATTTTAGATGAATTTAAAAAAAACCTACGGGAATCGACCTGCATCTTTTTAGTAAATATTAAATTGATCAACCTCTTCGCCTCTTTGCAATCTAAAACTTATGTTTAACAAAACAAAATTCTTAATGAATATATGAATTTAGTATTGCATTGAAGGGCTTTCCTAAATGATATTTTAAATAAGAGTCTTTACACTCTTACTCCGTATTTGTTATGGTTAACACAATTGGAAGTTTGCGGCTAGCAATGCATTGCGGCAAGTGACGTATAATGTATTTGCGGTTTAGTTGTGGCCGGTTTACAGCTGCTGACACATGTCAGGTGTAGGTATTATAGTTAATGGGATACTAATTATTGATAAAGTTGGAAATTAGAATAAATTCATTTGAAAGGTTTGTGTTTCGACCATACTATAACAAGAATCACCCGTTCCTTATTACAATCCCATATCAGACAGGTTCGTTAATGTTAATTTAAAATTTACGATTCACTATGAATTTCATGATATTCTCAACGATAAATATTCGTTTTTAAAGGAACTATTCATTTTGAAAAATGTAAATGATTTCAAAGCGTTGGGAATTTAAATTTTAAAATCTATATAGGAAAATAGTTTTATTTATTTGTGTGCTGTTTTCTTGCACTTATAAGAAATTATAGTAAATTTCATTAACTTAATAACACTTTTTTATAGATAAACCAAGTGATTATGCAATTGGTAAATAGTAATGTAATGAGATACAAAATGAGTAACGCCCAAATAACAACCCATTACGTTACCATACATAAATACTCGAAAATAGGAGCAATTTACGGTCATATTCACATTTATTCTTATAAGTATATTTTCATTAACAAAAAACAAAGCAGACTTCAAATCTCGCTCGATATACAACTTCTATTTAATTTATAGGAGTTCCCTGACGTATGTCCGGAGTCCATCGTCTAATAGGAATGAACTTCATAAAGGTACTGAGTAGCTAAAGAATGTTTAAAGTAACTTCTGAGATATCAAATATAAAAAAACCAGCCAAGTGCGAGTCGGACTCGCGCACGAATTGTTCCGTACCATTATCTATGAAAATGCCAAAAAAATCATGTATGGGAGCCCCAATTAAATATTTTTTTTCAGTTTTTTAGTATTTGTTGTTATAGCGACAACAAAGATACATCATCTATAAAAATTTGACCCGTCTAACTATCACGGTTCATGAGATACAGCCTGGTGACAGACGGACAGACAGACAGACAGCGGCGTCTTAGTAATAGTGCCCCGTTTTACCCTTTGGGTACGGTAATTTAGAACCACCTCGTCCTTTTTAGTCGGTTGATAATCTTTTATATATATATGTGTTTATCAAAATACCATACTTAAATCATTATTTATTGTGTCTTTCGTTTGCATTATATTTTTTTATTCAAACTTGGTAAGATTGAAAGCCTACAAAAAATATGTAAGTACTTTAGAAATGTTTAGGAAGAGGTAAGTTAGTTTTACAACGTGCTAAAAAGGTGAATGTTTAAATGTAATAAGGAGTTTTAATTAAGCAACATCGTTTAAGGCTAAGTGATCACTTCGCTCTTACGTACGTAGCTGGATTAACAGCACTGGTGTTTCTCAGTAATTGCAGTAGTCCTGCCGACAAATATCTTGTCCAACTTGAGCCTGATAGTTGTTTTAATTGTCACCGTTTATCTGTGTGGTGCACCTCACTTAGCGAATACGAAATTAACCTAGGGCTTATTTAGTACCACTGACCTTTGGTTTATTTGGCATCTAACTGTTTCAGTAATTATGACTTTAGCAAAAAAAATATATCAAACAGTTCGTGCTTAAGCAATTTAAATGACTCTATGAAACCAGTCACATTGGAGCTTGAATCTGCAGTTAAAGTTGCCGCTGAAGTTTAGAAAGATCGCAGACAATATTGACTTATTTGACTTTATTGGCAAGCTTTTTGAGCATGTCAATATTGTCTTTCTAACATATGGCACACAGAGAAATTTCTGCTCAGAGGGCGCAAAATACCAATCAAGAACTCGTCTGCTCTGTCGGCTGTCGGTTCTGCAAGTGATATGATTAGCCCACTGTCACTTCAGCTTGAGGTATGTGGCGGTTTACCTATCCTTCAGCAAAACTCCGAGCATAGTTCTCTCCGTGGCTCGCTGAGTGACTTTTATCTTAGGGACTAGTCAAACGAACTAAAACTACACAAATATTATGAATATATAATTAAAAATCTCTGCGATGGTATTTATTAAAAAAATATTAAAAATCAACTTAACATCCATTATTTATTTATTTATTTAGTCTTTATTGCATTTCCTTTAAAAAGGAACACAATAGGCGGACTTAAATTTAATTCTTTGCCTATGGTGTGGTGAGATCTTTAAGGTGGCAGGTGCAATATTTTATCTCACTAACATGAAGAATATACAGGTTAAAGATAAGGGAGAGTGTATGTGGGGATCAAATTTGATGTTTAGTTTAAAGCAGGTACGTATCTAACAATATAGCAGAAAGAATATTTTCGACCAATAGTTGTAATTATTGTTTATCGTCAATAAGTAATAATACCAAATAAGACTAACATTCAAGCCATACCTTTATACTTTAGACTATTCAACAAAGTTTTTTGATGTTTGTAGTAAAGCGTGTCTAAAGATATGTGATCTTTTCAACTGCTCGACAGACAAGACATCGTATAGTATATGATTTATTGTTTTAATTTCATTACACAGGCTTGTATCTGAAAATGTAAGGTGTAGTAGGTGTGTGTAAAGTATTTCATACACATAAATTCAAAAAGCAATTGCACAATTCTAGATTCGGAATAATCGTGTAACAACAAGCGTCAATTGCACTATGGCTTAATCAATCACAGTCCAACTCTC